TTAAATATTACGTTACCGTAACACATATGATTGATTCATTTCTAATCAGCAGACACTTGACATTGAATTAATGTTACTAACATATTTTAAACATATTTAAATATAGAAAAGCGCATAAGAAAAAAAGCTATCCTTATAAATATAAAAACTATAGAATAATATCTTAAAATTAGACAAATTTTTGTAAAAATTGTCGAACATTGTCGATACAATTGTCGATAAATGAGTACATTTATCGGTAAGTCGATAATTTATCATAAATATCAAAATTATAATAAGATTTTCATAATTAAATAATAAAAATAATGAATATTGTTCATAATATTACAAATGTTAAAAAAAAAATACATATATATGTTTCAACGTAATGAAAAACGAAGGAATTTTCATTTTTTTAATTTTTTCCAAATGAAATGAAAATCAACATAAGAAATTTTCTAAAATAAACAAATTTTCGTCATATTTTTTATTATTTTATATAAACAATGGATCGTAATGTCGATAATGATTTTCTTAAATTTTCTACTTTAATAATATACCATATAATTTATAGACGATTATCGACAAAAATATAACCTATTAATTAATATCGATAATGATATTATTAAATTTTCATCTTTAATAATACACTGAATAATTTGTACACGGTTATCAACAAAAATATAACCTAATAATATTAAGTTCCAATAACGGCCCACAAGATTACTAAATAACAAATGAAAATTCTCAATCGATAAACTTTTACTCTCTAGATAAAATGTTTCCTACAATATCGACAGTGATAAATTCGCAATAACATCTGTCCCTATACATATCTTCTTTATCAACTGATAAAGAATATCAACCTACATATCAATATATATATATTGTTGTTATATATATATATATATATATATATATATATATATATATATAATATCTCTATGAACATACATACACGCACACATATAAGCCATGCATTAGTAATACATATCCATATCCACTAACGCAATAATAAAACCTTATGTTACCTTATATACTGGTATTATTAATCCATTTATCTATTTAAAGATAAATATATCAATGTTTTCTCCCAACAATTTATTGAATGGTCCAGTTCAAGACTTAGTATCCTTTCAGTAACCATCCCGTTCGTATCTCATGCTTAGAAAAAATAGAAAAGAAAATTAAAAGGAAAGAAATTTTGTAAGTTTTATATACATTCAAATATATATATATATATATATATATATATATATATATATATATATATATAGATCTGGCTAATTACGTTATTGTTTGTGGTTTATCAAGAATAGAAAAAGTAGAAGAAGAAGAAGTGGAAGAAGAAGAGGAAGAGGAAAAGAAATAGCAATATGACTATATATAAATATATATATTGAAAATGTTGATAAATATGTATTAGGGTAAAAGAAAAAAATAAGTTATTTATACACATCATAAGAGAACGCAAGAAGAAAAATATACGTAAGTCGACAGGTATATATATACAACATATATACATACATATATATATACACTTTATTACTACCAAGTATAAACTCAAAATCTCAACAGAGGACATTTAAGAGGATACATTTTGAACTGTTATACGTGCTAGTTATCTCTCACTGTCTCTCTCTCACTCACTCTCACTCTACCTCGCTCACTCCCTATCTCAATCTGTAGTAAGAAAGTAACACGAATTATAACCGAGTCAATTTGGAATGTGCTGATAATAATGGGTGATCAAATTAATTTAATTATTATCGAATTTCATTGTTCCATTTTTTATACTTTTCTTTTTTCGACTTTCTTCTTCATCTATTTGTGACATTAGATATAAGAAATTTAATATAAAGAGGATAAAAAGAAATTTTCGTCTTATCGTTCGTCATTTCGCGTGTGGGTGAAAATATATGTTACGGATGATAAGGAAATTAATTGTTTCGAATTTTGTTTGATGATATTTACTTTATTAATTTTCTTTTTATTTTATCCTTTTCTTTTTTTTTCTTTTTTTTTTTTATTATTATTATTAATAATTATTATTATTCTTTCTATCGTCCGAATCATTTTTCATTTACGATGTGTCTTTGCATCGTTATATACGAAAATTTGATAATATAATAGATCTGTGTTATTTTATATTTTAATTGTCGATAAAACAGTTTTAAAATTTTATTCTATTGGTACATTTTCATTGGATATTTATTTGAAAGATGATAATTTGAAAGTGACTGATCATTTATCACTTTGAATTACGCAAATTTTCTTAATACATTAACGACACTTCGTATGGTATATCTGTTTGTGTGTATATATGTATATGTGTACATATATATATATATATATATATATATATATATATATATATATACATGTATATATAAATATACATATATACTAGAGATAAAAGATAAGAAAGATTAAGATGTCATATACTACTTAAGATTTTTTATGACGTATAAATACTTTTTTTCGTTTTAAAGAAATATATATATATATATATATATATATATATATATATATAACATCATGATTAGTATAATTACTGATAACGTTAGAAATATCTCAAGTGCCAGGATGTTATACATCAATAGTTAATATCGCCATTTGCAATTTCTATAGATTTTGTTTTGTTACTCATTTGTTTTTTTTTTCTTTTTTTTTCCTTCTCTCTCATCTTAAACTGTTTTATCGACATGTCGTGTATAAATTATATTACAGATAACATTATTAGATATTGTAGCGGGAGAAAGCTTTATGTTAATATGGCTGCATCCGCATCCATTTTATTAGTAATTATTGCTTTATCAATTGGATTACAAGCGAATAAATTTAAAGGTAGCGATGTATTAGATTTCGTACCACTTATCGACGGGTAAATAACATTTGTTTTTGTTAAATTTTTAAACTCGGTCGATAAAGTATGATCGAACTTATTGATACTACTTTACAGGCATAACGATTTACCATACAATATGTATGTAAAGTTGAATAATTTGAAGGAATTTCCATTTGAAAAATTAATCATTAATGATCCAGTATGGGGAAAAGAAGTATGCCCAACATGTTACACGGATTTACCACGTTTAAAAGCTGGAAAAGTTGGAGGACAGGTAAGCTATAAAATCGAAATCAAATTTGTTTTATTCTTTCTTTTTTTATTATTTTTATGATTGTTATTGTTGTTATTGTTGATTAATCATTAATCGATAAATTAAATTAATATATATATTTATTTTTTTTTGTTATATTCCTTACAGTTTTGGGTTGCGTATGTGTCCTGTAAGTCACAATACAAAGATGCAGTACAATTGACATTACGCCAGATAGATATGATCAAAAGATTTATAAATCTTTATCCGAAACATTTGGAATTGGTTAAACATGCAAGGAATATTGAACTTGTCTGGAGAAAAGGTAAAATAGCATCGATGATTGGTGTCGAGGGTGGACACTCATTGGATTCTAATTTGGCTATATTAAGGACTTATTACGAATTAGGTGTTCGTTATGTTACATTGACGCATATTTGTAATACACCTTGGTAAGTCTCACTGCATTACCGACTAATGATAATATATAATATATAAATATAACCTATTAAGTAAAATTATCTCTCTCTACATTACCGACAGTTGATATGTAAAAATTCACAATAATGTATTTTTATATTTCATCTCTTAAAATATTATTTTACAAGAATATTCTGACATCACTCATAATTATAAATTTATCATATTAATTCCAATTATTTGCAATTATTATAATAAATTACAAAATTCATGCATAGTTTGCAAAAATAGTTTGCAAAACTCATGCATGTATTTCTTTTTCGTATGATAATAAATTCTTTACTAACAATTTGTTATTCCTTTTTTTAATTGAGACAATTATTATTATAATATCAATTATTGTTAATGAGATTACATTACATATGATCTTCTGGTTCTTTTTTTTTTTCTTTTTGTTTTTCTTTAAAGGGCTGATGCAGTTATCTTCAACGATGGATACGTACACAATCTTACAGAATTTGGAGAAGTATGATTATTTTTATATTTTTTTTTTTTTTCAAATAACAAATTTGACTCGAGATAAAGTTAAATTGTTTTTCTAGAGCATTGTTTACGAAATGAATCGTCTTGGGATGTTAATCGATCTCTCACACGTTTCCCATAATGTCATGAGACAAGTTCTTGCTATATCACGAGCACCCGTTATATTTTCTCACTCCTCCGCATTTTCTCTTTGTAATAATTATCGAAACGTTCCTGATGACGTACTGCATTTGGTAGTAAGTAATATCACCAATATTAATGAAAAATAATGTACTTTTTATAATTTATACTTTATCGACAGAAAAAAAATGAGGGGATCGTTATGGTTAATTTTTATTCGGGATTTGTTAATTGCGACAAATCTAGAAACGCAACAATGCAAGATGTTGTAGGTATGATTTATGATTTATTAAATGATAAAAGAAAAAAAAAACATTTAATTATCGTCTATTATTGTTGTCATTGATTAATTAAGTCTATTGATGAATAAAGTCCGGTTCGTATATATATATATTTTTTTTTAAGATCATATTAATTACATTAGAAAAATTGTTGGAGTAAATCACATCGGTATTGGAGCTGATTATGATGGTGTCGATAAGTAAGAATAAATTAATAATAATAATATTAATAATAATAATAATAATAATAATAATAATAATAATAATAATAATAATAATAATAGTAATGATTATTTATGAATAATTCTAAACAAATACAGATTCCCGGAAGGTTTAGAAGATGTGTCAAAGTACCCATCATTGTTTGAAAGTTTATATGAAAACCGTAAAGGAGAACAAGAATGGAGCAAAGAGGATTTAGGAAAGTTAGCTGGAAGAAATTTTATCGTAGTTATGACCAAAGCAGAAATAGTACGATGATTAATTTTAATATCAATTTGATTATAATTAAAAGAACGATTTATAAAATAATATATGAATTTATTTTCTTTAACAAAAAGATTCGTGATGCGATGTCATCTAATCCGCCTATCGAAGATATTATTAATATAGGAGATATATATCAAGCACAAAAAAATGATGGATTGAAGCCGGGATTATGTCAAACTGCAAAAGAGTAAATATTTTCTGAAATCCATTAGAAGAATCATATTTTATTGGTTGAAAAATAAATTATTCTTATCTCGATTTCATTTTTATTTATCTATTTTTTACAGATGGAATCAGATATTATATTCAAATACCGTAAGTGAAATCGAGCCGACCGATTCAAATCAATAATATTATTAGAAATAGTATAATTTGTATTTTTAGATTTAAAACAAACACACATAATGTTAGTATTTTACATATGATACATTATTATATAATATTTTAATTATCACATTTCTTTTATTATAATAAAAAAATAATTTATTCCAAATTAAACAAATGACTGTTACCGTTAAGTCTGATAATGGCACAAAATTCTTCCCTAAAAAAGAAAATATTTATAAAGTAAGATTGATATAAATAAATTTTTTAAAAAATTAACAAATATAATATTAATATTAACCATTGACTTTTTCTGATAAATGGATACACTTCCGGTGGCATGAACCCATTAAATTTACAAGTTATAGTATTTGTGTATGCACCCATGTCCTTCCATATAAACCAATCTCCTATTTCATATTCAGGCAATAATATATCTTTAATGATACAATCCAAGGAATCAAGAGTTGGCCCCCATATAAAGGAAGAATATTTTTTTTTATCGGATATAGACTACAACAAATTCACTTCCTTTAATACATATATATATATTGAAATTAAAGAAAATAATTCTAAATATAAAATATACATTGGATAATGGAATTGGTTGACGTGAATTCAAATTCAATAATTCTTCCATAAACCCACTATAAACTCCGCAGCTAACAAAATACATCTGTTTCAGACTATTTCCCACAGATACAGTTTTCTTAGAATGCACGAAACTAGCCAAAGTAAATGCTGATGTTACGTAGTATCTACCGGGTTCGCTTATGATTTCTATAGTAGGGTCTATATCTTTGATTGCATCATTAACTAGATGTGAAATCTAAACAAAATACGAAGATAATTATTAATATATTTCATATATATACATTCAAAAGTATCATCTGAATAATCAAACCTCATCGATTTGAAATTCACTTTCCCCAGGGAATCCTCCACCAATGTCAATTAATTTTATATCATTACATTCAATCGATTTAGCAAAAGTAATCAATTCCTTACATATTTCAATTCCACGTACGTACGCATTAAATTCGACACATGGACTACCAACGTGAAAACTAAATCCATATAAAATTAAACCTAAATCCTTTGTAAGTTGTATTAATTCTTTTGCTTCATCGCCTGGTTCACATCCAAATTTGGTTCCAAGTTTGATGCATTCAGTGACAGCAGAATTGTCATCGCAACGAAAGCGAATAACTATTCTGTTAAGAACAATATTTGAGTGAATTATCGACATCGCATAAGATAATTGACATAATACAGGAATACGGAGTAAAATTTACTTACTTTGCTTCGGGAAATAATTTTTTAATTTTATAAAGTTCGCATTTGCCATCCACTGTCATTTTTTCGACACCTACGCTTTTGGCAAATTTTACATGAGACGGATACTTCGTTGGATTTGCAAAGATTATTCTATCTGGTGATATACCAAGTTCCATAACTTGTTGAATTTCTTGCTATTACAAATTACAATTTAGAACATATAATATTACTTTACATAAAAATGAAATCATTTACCTTTGATGCGCAATCAAAATTGCCGTTCATAGCTGACAAAACTTTAATTACCATTGGATCAGGATTACATTTAACAGCTAACAATAAAATTTTTCTATAAAATATTCTTATAGCATTAATTCAATAAAAAAGAAAAAAATATCTTACCATAGTAGGGTACAACTCTTGGCATTTTTTTGATCCAATCTTGATGCTTTTTAATTATAACACCGAGATCTAATATATAAAATGCATCTTCTTGATCACGAGTGTTAATGATATTTTCAAAAATATCATACTCTTTAAACTGATCTTCGCAAATCTGAATTTGATTGACATCAATAAAAGACATGTTACACATATTATATTTTATCATCTATGTTGTTGTTTCAATGAGCCGTTCATTTATACTATTATGAATACCAATAACTTCCTGTATTATATACTACATATGATATTTACTTAATGATAACATGAACATCAAATACAGATGGTTGTCTAACTTAATGTTTAAAATATATTTAATGTTCTGCATAGAATAGACGTTAACTAAACATAAATTAAATAAAAAATATTTATGATGTTAAAAACAAATTAAAATATATTATTATTTTAATAAACGATTACGATTTAACGAACGTTAACGTCATATTTTATAATTTTAATGGACAATCACATTTCCGGAACACGAGTGGTAATCAATATTTTTTCTTTTTTTTTAATATAATTTAAAAAAAATATTTTGCCTTTCCCGTGTATAGATGAATTTTATTCACTTTAACAAAAGACATCTTTCACGTATACTATACACTATACTTATAACTATTGTCGCAATAAGTCGCTTATTTATAAACTAACATTGCAACTGATAAACGTTTTTTTTTTTCATATATATATATATATATATGATAAAATTTTATTTCTTAAGAAAATTATGAGCTATTACAAACGAATTAGTTATTTATTAGGTCTAACATAATGGTAAAAAAATTTGTTCAATGTCCTTCGAAATAATATCTAATGAATAATAATTATTCAGCTTACTAATATATTATTTCTAAACATAAACTGTTAAGTCTGTTTGTTAACTTTTGTTAATAACATGTGTAACTTCAGGGACAGGTATGGACAAAATATGAACTACGAATACAAGTGGGAAACGATGTCACTTATCCCACCAATCATATATATATATATATATATAAACTTATGTTGGTTATTTTCCTCTCACGCGTACATAACAATTGTATTTGACGTGAATTAAAATAATTTAATGGATGAATAGACTTTGAATTTACATTTTTCAATCTCTCATAATTATATTTCTTTCGTTGATGTATATTTCGCAATGATTTTTATTAGATAGAACGTCGATACGTATTTTTGTTAATCGATAAATGAATAGAAAAGAATAAATATTATTGACAAATATAAAAATTATTATACGAATCTACGAGAAAAATAAGAATTTGTTCAATATTTTTTTTTTTTTTTTTTAAATAATTAACGAATATTTATATATTATATCATTTCAATATAAAATTAAAATATGAGTTAATTTTCGTATTATGTATTTAGTAAAATTCAGAACCTTTTTTTTTTTTTTTGTTATTTTTTCTTTTACGTGGTTAATAAAAAAAAAAATAATAATAAAAAAGAAACAATTGGTTATCCCTATAAAACTAATCCACTCTATACGACTTCGTCTATTACTATTTATTACTATGGTGTCCCATAAATTTCTTTCCCTTCTTTTTTTTTTCATTTCATTTTTACGTGGTTAATAAAAAAAAAAATAATAATAAAAAAGAAACAATTGGTTATCCCTATAAAACTAATTCACTCTATACGACTTCGTCTATTACTATTTATTATTAGGGTGTCCCATAAATTTCTTTCCCTTCTTTTTTTTTTTTTTTTTTTTATGCAAAATCAGTAGACGATATTCGTTGTTTAAGATTGATTTACTGTGTTATATTTGAATCGTTCTGCACTATTATCTCCTTCAATCTCTCATTATAATGCCCTATTTTCAAAATTGTTAAGAACTTGAAAAATATTCATCGAGGTTCATTCGATGGACATTCATCGAGAAATCTATCTCTTTAGTAGTTTATAAAATCTAAAAAAAAAAAGAAAAAAAAAAAAAACAGAAAAAATTAGAAATTTTTATTTAAAATTTAACGATATTTAAAAAAATTTTTATCACCTCGACATAAACAATTGGACAAGCATTTCCTTAGTATTTCCTCATAAAATTATCTGGCCATATGCTCATTAAAATGATAGAATCGGTTAACGTAGCTTCTTCGTGCGAGCATCGAGAAAATCACAATTTCTTTGGACATTGAAAATCGCTCAAAAAAAATCTAAGCATCAGGTATTTATGTACAGTATCAATCGCCATTTCACGGTTATAAAATGTACACCATTCAAGTTGTATATATGAAAATCAATAATGGCTCATCACTTTTGTCGGAAATCTTAATAGACATAGCAGGTACTAAACTTTTTCTTTGAGAATAATATCGAAAACAGCATTTGCGTCATTAAAAAGAATAGAAATAATTTTTCATCAATTTTAATGAATAAGATCTCATTTTAAAAACGAAGATTTATTTTATGGCGATATTTTAAAAAAGACTTTTTATTTGTGCATAAACTATTCTTGCAAAATATCATATTTTAATACAATTTCTTTTTTTTTTTTTTTCTTTTTTTTTTCAAAGAAAATAAAACTTTCTTCATAAAATCCTTCGAAAGAGTGATGTAGAAAAAATTTTCGTCCTTTAATTACGTAAAAATAATTTAATTACTTACATAAAATGTAGATCTGATTCATAAATCGTTCAAGAATTAAACCTATTCTCATTAATCGTATAAACCATTAAAAAACCATTAAAAAACCAGCAAAAAAACAAAAATTGAATATGATTAATATTACGAAAAAATGTTTTTTCAATTTTTATTTTTTACTTTATCGTGAATGAACAATTACTTTTATCTTATTTACAACAATTATTGTTTCATAGTACGTCATGTTATGACTTGACAGTCCTCGACTTAGATAAAATTTCATATAGGAATATTCAATGTCGTATGATAATTTGTCCTATTTACTAATGTTTCTATTGAAAATAAGTGTAGTGTCGAGGATGCACACTGATAATATTTATTCAATGCCTTCAGAATTTACATATTATAATAAATGTAAAATTGGTAAATATATTTCAAACATTAAAAAAAAAAGCATGACACAAAAAGTATAATGAAATAAAACTAAATAATTCCTTTCAAATAAGTCATAAGTAAGTAAATACGTAGTACATTGTATTTCAACATTCAGCATTCTCAGTGATATATAATATCAAAAATTTTTCTATTGAATAACTGCTATTATATAAACAAAATGAAAAGTGAAAGAATAAAAAAAACCTAAATAAATATTATTTCATCGTATCTTAAATTTCTTCCATTAATATCGCTACAATAGTTCAGAAATTATCAATCATTTTCTATCAATTATGTTATTGATTATCACTTTAAGAACGGTCACGTGATTTTGAATTAATATTCCAATATATTTTAAAGATATTCAAATATATAAAGACGCATAAAAAAAAAAAAAATAGCAATCATTATAAATAAAAAAAAATTTGAAACAATATAATAATTAAAATACTTTCGTTTAATATCACAATTGTCTTCATAATATAATATACCCAACTTAAGTTTAATTCAAATGAATAATATAATTAAATAAAGAAAATATATATTTTGAAAATTATTAAATAATATTTCGTGAATATACGATATATTATTTGATTATTTTTTAAATATATTTTTTATAATAATACAAATTATCTATTTTAATTTATACAATCAATTATTTTCGTCACATTTGACAACGGCACAAAAATCTTCCCTAAAAAGAAATATATTATAATATGTAAAATTATTATGAAAAATTGTAATATCTTAAAAAAATTATTATCTCAGATATTTATATTAACCATTGACTTTTTCTAATAAATGGATGAACTATCGGTGGCATAAAACCATTAAATTTACAAGCTAGTGATGTTGTGTATGCACCCATGTCGTTCCATACAAGCCAATCTCCTATTTGAAATTCTGGCAGTAATGTATCTTTAACGATACAATCATAGGAATCACAAGTTGGTCCCCATAAAATAGAAGGATATTTTTTATCGGATACAGGCTGCAATAATATATATACATACATATATATATATATATATATATATATATATATATATATATTCATTTTTTTTTTAAATAAATAAAATAAATTCTAAATATAATATATTAATTATATACATTGAATAATGAGATTGGATGACGTGATTTCAAGTTCAACAATTCTTCTATAAAACCATTATAGACACCACAGTTAACATAATACATATGTTTCAGATTATTTCCTTCGTTTATTGTTCTTTTAGAATGTAAATAACCAGCCAAAGTAAATGCAGATGTTACATAATATCTACCTGGTTCACTTATGATTTCTATTGTAGGATCTATTTCTTTGATTGCATCATTAATCATATGTGAAAGCTGAATAAAGATACAAAGATAATTTTTAAGGTTGGAAACCATGAAACGGGCATTGAATGAAAATAAATAACTAAACAAAAAGCCCGTTTCATAGTTTCCAATCTAATACTTATATATTAAGTTGGAAACTATGAAACGGGCATTGAATGAAAATAAATAACTAAACAAAACGCCCGTTTCATAGTTTCCAAACTAATACTTATATATTAAGTTGGAAACCATGAAACGGGCATTGAATGAAAATAAATAACTAAACAAAACGCCCGTTTCATAGTTTCCAAACTAATACTTATATATTAAGTTGGAAACCATGAAACGGGCATTGAATGAAAATAAATAACTAAATAAAAAGCCCGTTTCATAGTTTCCAATCTAATACTTATATATTAAATTGGAAACCATGAAACGGGCATTGAATGAAAATAAATAACTAAACAAAAACGCCCGTTTCATAGTTTCCAATCTAATACTTATATATTTGGTTGGAAACTAATATATTTCATATATATATATATATGGAAAAGTTTCATATTAATAAATAGACCTCATCAATTTGATATCCACTTTCTCCAGGAAAACCACCACCGATATCAATTAACTTGATATCATTACATCCTATTGATTTAGCAAAAGTAATCAATTGTTTACATATTTCAATTCCACATATGTATGCACTGATTTGATAACATGGACTACCAGCGTGAAAGCTAAATCCATATAAAGTTAAATCTAAATCCTTTGTAAATTGTATTAATTGATTTGCCTCGACATCTGGATCACATCCAAATTTAATACCAAGTTTGGTACTTTTATCAAGATTAGAATTGTCATATCGAAAGCGTATAATTATTCTAATAAAAATAATATTTGAATTAATTATTAAATGTTTTATATATGGTGACATAAGATAATATCAACTATATATATATATATATATATATATATTATATATAATAAATTTACTCACTTTGCATCGGGATATAATTTTTTAATTTTATTAAGTTCTAATTGACTATCTACCGTCATTTTATTAATCCCTAAACTTTTAGCAAACTTTATATGAGACGGACACTTTGTTGGATTTGCAAAGATTATTCTATCTGGTGATATACCAAGTTCCATAACTTCTTGAATTTCTTGCTGTTATAAATTAATAGATTATGATAATATAATATTGTTTTATATTAAAATGAAATAATTTACCTTTGATGCACAATCAAAATTGGCATTCATAGCTGCCAAAACTTTAATTACCATTGGATCAGGATTACATTTGATAGCTAACAATAAAAATTTTTCTATAAAATATTATTATAACATTAAATCAATAAAAAAAAAAAAAATATCTTACCATAGTAGGGTACAACTCTTGGCATTTTTTTAATCCAATCTTGATGCTTTTTAATTATAATACCAAGATCTAATATATAAAATGCATCTTCTTGATCATGAGTAGTAATGATATTTTTTAATATGTCATAATCTTTGACCTGATCCTCATAAATCTGAATTTGATTGAGATCAATAAAAGACATGTTTTAAATATTATATAGTATCGTCTATGTTACTGTTTCAATGAGCCGTTCATTTATACCGTGATGAACACTGATAAGCATTAGTTCCTGTATTGTGTATCATATAATATCATATTTATTCAATGATAACATGGACTATTATAGTCGAGTAAAATTAGTTATCTAAAATTAGTTATTTTTTTTGTTTTGTTTTTTTTAGTAATAAGACATTAAATAAACACAGATAAAATAAGAAACATAACTTTAAAAGAAATTCTGTACTTTTTATTATTTTAATGAACAATATATTTTTATACTGTTATAAATAATGACCAGTTTTTCTTTCTTACATTATATATGATAAAAATTTTATATGAATAATATATAATAAATGGAATATATTAATAAAAAAAAAAAAAAAAAAATACAAATAATGAGATATATTAAAACTTATAAAAAAAAATAATTCATACAATTTATAATTCATATGCACATGTATATACATTTTTATTGTAGTATATAAAACAAATTTGTTTTACAAGATAAGAATTATCATCGGTTTATTAACATATTATTTATAAATGTAAATTATTACACATTACAATCATTATCACGTGCAAACATTAAAACCCCTAATTAAAAAGACATTCGTTATGTTCACATATTACCGATTGTAGTAACGTCTAATGTTAATTATACTAACGTAACGTGACTACAGCGATAGGCGTGGACAAAATCTGAACTACAAACGCAATAAAAAAAACCACTACTCCGACTATACATCTATATAAACATCGGTGTTTTAGAATGTTAGGTTATGTTTCTCTTAAGCATGAATCATGACGTATTATAATCGAATCAGATCTAACAGAAATGTTTGTATATAATAAAAATATTAATATATCTGACACAAGCAAGAGAAAAATCATTTAATCTGAAAAGAATTAAATGAAAATAAGTAAGATTAAATGAAAATTAATTTCGTTATCTTATTGAATAAATAAAAATATAATTAATAAGATTTAAGAAAATTAAGAATAATAATTAATAAGAATACGTAAGAATAGATTTTTATTCTCATAAATAAATTATGAGAATAAATTAATAGATATAATTAAAAAATTCGAATTTTTCTTTTTTTTTTTTTTTTTTTTTTTTTTTTTAAGCGATAATACAAATACTCGATTATTTCATTTTTCTTAAGCGCGCGCGATTGCAATGAACTTCTTGAAAGAGAAAAATATCAAGCAAATTATTAGTATCACTGTCGTAATGAGAAACTGTATAAATTATTTAAGAAATGTATGACATAAAATTATAATATTTACTTTAAGTATTCATTATAAATTTATGGGAAAGATAACCTGTGAATCATCTTCGATAATTACTCGTCGACATCCAAAGGAAGACTGATCCAGTAATAGTCAAAGTTCATTGGAGATTTGATTTTGTGACGTCACACGTAACCAATGACCGCCAATTGCAAAATTTCAATCTAAAAGAAAATAAATTATATAAATTATATAAATAAATTATTCAAGAAATGTATGATATACGAAAATATTTTCTTTTAATTCTTCGTTGATACAATTTCACGAGTCTGTACATACTGTTAGATAACACTCCATTGACTTATATCAAAAAATAAAATAATCAATCAAACATACAATGACATGATATCGAAAAATAAAGAAACATTATTATTATAATCAATTTGAATTGAAAGAATTCTTATTAAAAATGTTTCAATATCAATTTCAAGAAATTAATATTGTAATAAGTCTACATAACCTTATATCATTATATAAAATATTTTTAATAAAGATAATAATTTTCATTTGTAATAATAAATTAATTTATTTAAAAAATGTTTAATAATATAAACTAGATAATATATATATATATTTTCTTTTTCTTTTTCTTTTTTTTCATTAAATCTCATTTTTACTTGGATCGATTTCATTGGTTGATTATTTACTTTTTAATAAATTTCATTGGTTGATTACTAACTTTTTAATAAATCTCATTGGTTGATTACTAACTTTAATTAAATATGATTGGCTCGTCATATTTTCACAACATTACTGATACAAAATGATGCTTTACTATAGATTATGTACGACTGATGTACAAAACGCTTCCGAAATTATCGAGGTGAATCATTTTCCTTAACATATAGCAAACGAATCTAACCTTTATATACTTCGTGGTTTAATCGTAGTCTAGAAACATAGCTTAAACGTGTAATCCAAGGAAGATACAATATTACTTATTCAATACGAATAAAACGACTTGTCTTTAACAAAATGGTTAGTTATCGTGTACATTTGAAAAAGTTAAAGAATATGATATTCTTTTTTTCATTTCCATATATATTATTCGTATAATCGTATAATCGTATAAACACGTGATTCTGTCAGTCCGTCATGTCCATTAAAAGTTTTTTTTTTTTCTTTACGAATCTCTTGAAGAAAAAACTCATGTCTTTTCCCATGATGATATCTGAGTGATTTTTTTTTTTTTTAATAATATTTGACATTAATCATGCCGATTTAATTGACAATGATATTGTTTTAATTAATTAAATATTTTTTTGGTTATTGTGATTTTGGGTTCTACAATTGAAAGTTAACAGATTTTAGAACTATTTGTACATTGTTTTTGAACAAATATGACAAAGTATTAATCAGTTTTAATATAAGCAAAGTATCAGATTTATATCTAATATATACACACATATATATATAAATTATATACAATTATATAGTTTTATTATAAGCAAAGTATACATAGTTTTAATATAAGCAAAGTATCAGATTTATATCTAATATATACACACATATATATATATAAATTATATACAATTATATAGTTTTATTTTATTTTATGTTATTACAATATTAATATATTTTGTGATTAATGATTTCTAATTCAAAATAATGATATCCACATTGAATTAAATTAACGTTATTTGTATATTTGTATTTTTAATAAACAAATTGTTCATAATCATTTATATTCAAATTTAAAATTCAATAATTAATTAAATATTCTTTCAGAAACCATTAATGTTACATGGACATGAACGTGCTATTACAAAAATAAAATATAACAGAGAAGGTGATTTGGTATTCTCAGCTAGTAAAGATAAAAAACCAAATGTTTGGTATTCTTTAAATGGTGAACGTCTTGGAACATTTAATGGACACAATGGATCAGTATGGTGTATAGATGTTAATTGGGATACCACTAGATTTTTATCAGGAAGTGGTGATAATACATTAAGAGTATGGGACTGCGAGACTGGTTTGTATTCAATATTTGATTTAATATTAATCTTTGATGTTGATTTTTTATTATTATCATGTAAAATGAAATTATTTATTTATTGTATTTATTTTTTTCTTATTTGTTTTCCTTCCCTTTCCCCCCTTCTCCCCTCCTCCCCTGTAGGTAAAGAAATTGGACAATTGCAAACTAATAGTTCTGTAAGGACATGCGGTTTCAGTTATTCGTCAAATCTTGCAGTTTATTCTACCGACAAAGCATTAGGTCATCAATGTGAAATGTTCATTATGGATATTAGAAATGTCGATACTAATATGTCACAAGAACATGCAATTTCTAGAATCTCTGTGCCTGGACCAAGAATATCTGCTATTTTATGGGGTGCTTTAGACGAAACCATTATTACAGGCCACGAAGATGGTGAAATTACCCTTTGGGACGTTAGAGTATGTCGTTTGTTATATAAATATTTTCTTTTCTTTTTTTTTTTTTTTATATTATATTATATTTACAATATGTTATGTTATAACAAAGTATATTTCATTTAACCCTTTGAGTGCTGAATACTCGTGGCCTATGCTGTCCGTACGGACTGAATACTTTTTTCATGCAATAGAAACAATTGCCGAGCATATACATTTGACCATAGTACAGTGATCATTTTCCCCAGGCGCATATTTGCGTCCATAGTCCATACCGATAGCATCCGCCGAGCGCATATTCGCATCCATAGTCTACATCGATAGCTTTCGCTGGGCGCATATGTGCGCCCATACCACTCAAAGGGTTAAATGATATGAATCTCAATAAATAAATAAATAAATAAATACTCAAACAGATGGGAAAGAAGTTGACCAGTACGAAAGGTCATAAATCTCAAATAAATGATATGCAATGTAACAAAGATGGAACGATATTTGTTACTGCGTCGAAAGATAATATGGCTAAATTATTTGACAGTGAGTCATTGATGTTATTAAAAACTTATAAAACGGAAAGGCCCGTCAATTCGGCTACAATATCACCTATTTTGGATCATGTAAATATTTTCTTTTTCTTTGTATATAATTATTCTTTTTAAAAGAATGCCATTTAATTAAATCTACGTTATATTTTTTATCATTATAGGTAGTTTTAGGTGGTGGCCAAGATGCCATGGATGTAACTACGACATCAGCTAGGCAAGGAAAATTTGATTCGCGTTTTTTCCATCTTGTATTCGAAGAAGAATTTGCAAGATTGAAAGGTCACTTTGGTCCAATTAATTCTTTAGCCTTCCATCCAAATGGTAAGAGTTTATCAACCGGTGGAGAAGATGGATATATTCGAATTAATACATTTGATCAATCCTATTTCGATTTTCATTTTGAATATTAATTGGATCAATGAAAAGCGAAAAAATGGAAAAAGAGAAAAAAAAAAATAAACATATTTGTAATAAATATGTAATTGAATATTTTTATTATAGAAAATTTATCTCAATTCTTTTTTCCCTCTCCCTTTCTCCCCCTCCTCTATCCTCCTCCTCCTCCTCCTCCCTCCCTCCCTCCACTGTGTTGTTCTAAGAGTTATACATTTATGATATCATATTTGATGAAACATTTAAAAATATTTTGAACAATTTTATGCGCAAAAAAAGAAAAAAAAACATTTAATAATATTACACTTATTTAACTATTATTTGTCCTATTGGAGGTAGCTGTGATATAAGAACTTTGTTTTAAGAAACAAAAAAAAACAAAAAAAAAATACCCAAGTTATTTTAATTATTAATATATATATATATATATATATATAATGTAAAATGCTTAGATATAATAATTAATCAATCAATCAATCAATCAATCAATCAATCAATCAATCAATCAATCAATCAATCAATCAATCAATCAACCGATCAGGTAGCACAGATATTGGAAGATAATACATATATAATAAAACATCAAACTTTGTACTTGAAATTCATCTTAACTAAATAACGAACTTTCACTTGAGCTGTATCATATATGATGTATTCATTGTATAACAATGATGAATTCTTCTTAAGTTTACTTGATACAGAAGGACCATATGGAACTTCAATGCTACCTTCCATTTTATAAACAACATTTGGATCTGGTTGAGTTTGTCCTTTTCCTATAGTCGAATGCTTATCTTTTGGTAATTTTGAAATATAATCAGCTTCATATCTTTCATACATATTACCTAAAGCAACTTCACATAACAGTAACAATCCCGTTGGGTTAGCGCTATTCGTGCAACAATAATTTGCAGACTTTGATACCATGTCAGCAAAATAGATACCTTTACCAAACATATAACCGGTAACAGGTGCTTCTGGGGGAGCTATTCTAAGTCCCTGAGATAATATACCAGCAAAATTGGTTGTCCTAGATCCATGCCAGAGTAATTTTTTATTATGCATTTTCTTAAAGGGTTTATATCTTTGATCTTCACCCTGTCTCTTTATAACAAAAACATCTTCAATTTCTAACTCATAATAACTATGAGTGGATGCATGTGTATTCTTAACATATTGTTTTATTACATCATAATCTTTACTGGATTTATCCAATACATCTATCTTTGTCTTCAATTGCTCATAATGTGCATCAAGAGGATTTTTCTTATCATCTGTCTTACCGTGAAGCAAACTATATGCTATTTCCATTTCAAGTAATGCCTCTAACATTTTACATTTCAATTGAATTTCTTCAATAGTTTCTAATATCTTAGGTCCAGAAATACCAAAATTATGTGGTATCAAAGTATAAAATCTATTCGATGCGTCTATAAGCGTGGTACGTTCGGGTGTAGCTTTTTTAACTAATTCTTGCAATTCTGTTAATACTGAATATGCTTGTTGAATTTGCTTTTTAGATAATTTACCAAGCGGCATTTTATCCATATCTATTTCAAATTCTAACATAACCTTTTTCATATTTTCTATGTTAAATATAAGCTTCATTAGATCTTGTAAAGGTTTTTCCAAATTACTCTTAATATCCGATTCTAATAATTTTGACGTATCTTCATCATCACCATGATCAATATCAATGGGATACATTTTATTTGGTACTTTAACAAAATCTTTTCTATTTCTCCAATTATTCCCAGATTTCTCTTCATAAAGTTCCTCAAATTTCATTATACAATCATCTAAAGGTGCAACTTCCAATTTTGTACCACCAATCGTAGTACCTATTCTACCCCAACTTCTGAACAACCAATATTTATTTTGTATATCGTGTTTCAATATTTGTAACTTGTAATAACTATTTTTCTTAGCTTGAATATCTGTAAGTCCTAACGTGACAGTAAATTTATCCGTTCCTTTTTGATAAACATGAGCACAATCCTCTAATCCACTATCCGGATCAACTGTACCACCACCTTTAACTTGTAATTTGATTTTTCCAGAAACTGACTTTTCATATTTACTTTTACTCTTAGATGATCCTGATTTTGCAATAACATCAGCTAGACGAGTTTTAACGTCACCACCCCAATCAGATATAGTTTTCTTTTTAATTAACGCAAATGGCGGTTCCGTATAATCCTTAGCTTCTTCGATAAAATCTTCTGAAACCACTTGTATGTCTAAAGATTTCACATCTTCCATTCTTTTATTCATTTTTTCTATTTCTTTCAAATTAGAAATAATAGCTGCCAAATTTTCATGTATCTTCGTTACTACAGATCCTCCCAAAAGTACTATTTCCCTCTTCAACGTTTCCTTATTTTTGCTCGTTTGACCTAATATTACAAATTGCATATTCTTCAATGGTTTTGGTTTTCCTTGTACCATTGGTCCAGCATCAACGTCATCTTCTTTTTTAACAATAGTAGATGTCGACGGTACAGTAATTTTAATTAATCTCCTAACAACCTTTGGTTTGAAAGCCCTGTTAATTTATAAATTATTAAAAAATATTGAATTATATGTGAACATTGTACTATATATATAAAACAGAAAAGAAAAAGACATACAGAGCTTTATAAGTATTCTTTAATTCCTCCGGAACGGAACATTTCTTTCTTTTAGGATCTTGAGTAACATATTCGCATTTTGTCCATTCTGTTATATTTCCGGTACATTTGTAACCAAGACCTGAAACGTATACCAATTGTCCGCTACATTTTGGACATGGCTTTAATGCTCCAAACGTTAATAAATCAGATACATGGTCCAATATCTATAAAAAAAAAAAAAATAAAAAAAAAAATAAATAAAAAAGAAATTGAAAGAAAATATTATTCATTGCTAGATCACTTTTAACAATCTTTATATTAATCCATACCGCAGAAACACCTTCTGGTACTTGTTGTTCATTCGTTTCTAAAATCATAACAAGTTCTTTCTTATTGAGCAATGACAAAGTATCCCTCATTGTGAATATTTTCTTATTTTGTTCCTTGAATTTTTCTTCTTCTTCCATATCCACTGGTTCATCCTTAAGTTTCTTTACAGGCGGTACATCATTGTTATTTATTTTAGGCAATTCCTTTTTTACAGTAGCTTGATCTTCCTTCGATAATGTTTTTATACCAGAAATTGTATCAGCTTGATCAAAAAATTCAAGTTCCGTTCTAATCTTGACAAAACATTCCAAATGATACCACCTATCTATACCACCGTATTTTCTTCCCTCGTCACTTTCAAAATCCTTTTTAGAAATTCTTATTTCACTCTTAACTATTTTCTCTTCGCAACCTCTGCACATAGCTCTGCTTGACTTTGCATATTCTATTGAAAAGTCTTGAGACAAGCCTGTAACTTTTCCACGTTTCTTACCTTTCCCAGTTGTAACTGGAAGTTTTCCAGCTTCTTCTAAAATTTACATGGAACAATATTATAAGATATATATATATATAACATTGTAAAAATTACAAATGAATAAATTAACAAATGATCAATGATATTAAACCTATATTCTTTTTAATATCTTCTTGATCCTCCCAACGGATACTATCAAAGTTAGCTATATCAGCAATGGACTTTGGACGTTGCTTTTCAAAAAAGCACTTAGGATGATACCACTTAGTAATAGTACCATCGAATACTGGACTCTATGAATCAAAAAAAAAAAAAAACAAAAAAGAAATAGATAAAAAAGGAGGAATCATCATTTAATACAATAAATTTATGTGTAGATGTTAAAGTATAAATAATGAGAGAAGTATTGAAAAAAAAAAAAAAATAATAATAATAATAATAATAAATCTAATTGATAAATTTTGTCACCTGTTAATTAAAGTACGGTGGAGGAAAAAAGAAAAGAAAGAAAAAGAAAAGAGAGAAAAAAAGGAAAAGAAAGGTTAAGAATTTTTTTTTTCTTTTCTTTTTTTTTTTTAAATATGGAAAATAAAAAGAGAAGAAAAATAAAAATGAATAAATAGATAAATAAAGAGAGAGAAAGAGAGAAAGAGAGGAAGAGAGAGAGAAATAGATAGAGAAAAAAATTAAAATATACATACTTGTACAACAGTAGCAATTCTCAAAGAATCTTTCATAATTGAAGATTTACAATTCTTACAAGAAGCTCGAGAACTTTTAGCATACTCGACGAGATATGGTAATGAATCTGTCATTGTTTCGTTTATATATATATATATATCACGCGTAAATAAATATATATATATATATATATGTGTGTGTATTTGTATGAATTATTATTTTGTTCGTTTTTTTTTTTTTTCTTAAACACCAAATGAAAAAATTAGAAAATTTGCAAAAATATTAACTCCAACGTAAATATTATTTGTTCGTGAATGCAACGGCACGCTGCAATACCAGTTATGTTACATGTTACATAGTACCGGTAATAAGTCGATTTTTCGAAATCTCTGCTTAATTCACTGTTATAGATAGCATCACAGGAAATGACGTTGTTATTCTAACTAAAGAAAAATAAGAAAGAAAAACAAAAATAATTTCTTTTCAATTAACTTATTAATCAGAAAAAAGAAATAAGTAGGAACACAAGTGTTACAGATAAATAGTTTCTCATATTTCAAGGTTATTAATCATTAGCCAAGTTCACGTTAATACATTTCTATTGCTTGCAAAGATGCGCGCGCAAATTGGAAAAAAAAGAAAAAAGGAAAAAAAAAGAAAAAGAAAAAAAGAAAAAGAACAAAAAAAAAAGAAGGAAAAAAATAATCTCTCTCTTTTTCTTTTCTTTCCTTTTGACAATGAGAACCTCTGTTCAAAGAAATACTAGGAAAAAATGTTATCACTTATTTATATATATATATATATATATTTCTAATCTTAATGTTATATATATTATCTTAATAAAAAAAATACATACATATATATATATATATAAATAGTAATATGTGAATTGATCAATTATAATTTATTGATTGATTAATTATCAACTCTAAAGGAACTTATTAAAAATCATATATATTTATAATTAATATATCAACTTTGACATAAGCAAATATATTGTTATTGTTCATTAACATTTGTTGTAGAGTATATAGATTTGGAAACAAAAGAGAAAAAGAAAAGAAAAAGAAAAATAAAAGAAAAGTAAAAAAAAAAAAAAAAGAAAAAGAAAAAAAAAAAAAGAGGGTTGTAATACAATGTTGGTACACTTTATTTTTGTCATCATATAATATTGTACAAATTATTACAGTAAACTATATATTTCTGTAATTATGTCTATGAATGTTTCTCAGTTTGACCAACATAGCTCGTGCCATACAAATGGCAAGCAAGCAGCGCAGAGTTTAAATAATACAGCCTTAGGAGTGCAAAAACGCACTATGGTATCCATCTTCCTCTTCTTCATCTTCGTTTTACTGAATACAGTTTTTTTCATCATCTAAAATTATTACCTACTGTAACGTACAAAAATGATTAGGATTAAATTGAAATTATTAAATTAAACCCGTTGCTTCTCTTGTTCTTCTTTCTTTCTTTCTTTCTTCTTTTCTTTCTTTCTTTTTTTTGTTTCCTTTTTTTTTTCTTTTTTCTTTTTTTTTCTTTTTTTTTTTTAAACAACTATCTACATATCCATATAAGCCTATTTTTTTATCAAGTTAGTATATTACAAGAAGAGAGATTAGAGACAGACAGACAGAAAGAAAGAGAAAGAGAGAGAGAGAGAGAGAAAGAGAGAAAGAGGAAGAAATAATTTCTTCTTCTCCCTCTTCTTCTTCTTCTTCTTCTTCTTCTTCTTCTTCTTCTTCTTCTTCTTCCTCTTCTTGTAAATACACTATTGCTACGTTATAATTATTTCTTGTGTTTTTTTTCCTTTTTCTTATTTTGCTTTTATGTATATGTATATATATATATATATATATATATATGTATATATATAATATTGCTTTAGATATATTATACGTATACATATACAATGTTGTAGATATATATGTGTGTGTATGTGTGTGTATTCTTTTTTTTTGCATTACACATGCTAAACAAATTCAATTCTCCTTTATAACTCATATTTTTGTTTTGTTTTTCTTTTTCTTTTTCTTTTTCTTATACCTTGGAAAGTGTGTACACGCTCGTCCACGTGCGTGATTTTACTCTGTCCATCTGTCTGTCCTCTGTCTGTCTGTCCTGCGTGTTTGTGTGTTTCTGTGTGTGCGCGCGTATGTGTAATTTTATCGTTTTTAACAGAAAAAAAAAAAAAAAATAATGTATACATTAATGTGTGTGCCATCCTATTTTATTGATATATTTTGCTTAGATTATTTTCCTACGTTAATGTACATTTTTTGTTGTCGATTCTTATTAGAGCAAAAAAATAAGACTGGAGATTATTTGATTACAATATATAAAGACTGAAGAGCGAGCTTTAACTTATATAATAATAGATACAATGTACAACTCTTTATCTGCGTGTGGTTTTTACTCTTACTCTTCTTCTTCTTCTTCTTCTTCTTCTACTTCTTCTTCTTCTTCTACTTCTTCTTCTACTTCTTCTTTTTCTCCTTCTTCTTCTCCTTCTTTTTCACCATCATCTTCGATTACATTATAAATTATTCCATACACACAACTTTATGAAAATATGAGAGATAAATTATGTAATGGATAAAAATAACAATTTCATCGTTTCCTTATCATCATCATCATCATCATCATCATCACCATCATCATCATCATCATCATTATCATAATCATCATCATCGTCATCATCATCATCATCGTCGTCGTCGTCATCGTCATCATCATCATCATCATCATCATCATCATCATCATTAATCTTAAATGACGTATAATAATCAAAAGATAGACGCGATATTTATTATTATTAATATTATTATTTATTATTATTATTTATTATTATTTATTATTATTTATTATTATTCCAAGAGAACAATGATAATCATATTTCATGATAATTAAGTTTGTTTTTATTATTGTATACCAAAGGTGGTTCTAGAATATCCGAGGGCACTCTGGTTAATTATTACAATTCCTGGACTCAAGGAGATATATATATAACCATTCAGAAATCGTTTTACAAATATTTTCTTTTCCTTGGTTTCGTTTGGTTTTGTTTTGTTTGCTTTGTTTTGTTTTGTTTTGCTTGTCTTATTTTCATTTCCCTTTTATTTATTTATTATTCATTTATACCATCCGAATTATTTTATTAAATCAGAGAAAGAGGACCAAAAGAGAGAGAGAGAGAGAGAGAGAGAGAGATAGAGAGATAGAGATAAAGAGAGAGAGAGAGAGAGATATTTTATAATAAATTATTAATTCGTCGTCTTTGTGTCGTTTTTTTGTGTCCGTTCTTTTGTCGTCTTTGTCTTTGTCCCTTGAAAAGTTTCAATGGCAAAATAGAATGACATATTCGATTATATTTTTTTTTCTCTTACAAAAACAATTTACACATTACAAAGAATTTACTATTTAAAGTGTGTGTGTGTGCGTGTGTGTGTGTATGTTTGTCGATATACATGACGAAGAATGCAAAATACTTCCTTTTCTTTTCTTTTTTTTTTCTTTTCCTTCTTTTCTTTCTTTCTTTCTTTCTTTCTTTCTTTCTTTCTTTCCTTCTTCTTCTTCTTCTTTCTTCTTTTAATAATAATAATATATATATATATATACATATATATATATGTATATGTACATATATATATATATATATATTCATTAAGTCCATCGTGTGTTTTAAAGCGGGAATTACGTAGCTTTAGGATAAACTAAGGAATTAGACTGAAGGCCACGCTTTCATGTTTTTACAGTCTATTTTTTTTTTCTTTCTTTCTTTCTTTATGTATGTCCGATAACAACAATAAAAATTCTTAAATAAATATATATCGGTATAATCATTGATGGAATATTATATTACGCAGTCAACTAGTTTTCTTTTTTTTTCTTTTCCTGTTTTCATTTTTCCTTTTCCTGTTTCTTTTTTTGCAATTTTTCTGTTTCTCATTTTTTTCCCCTCTCCCCATTTCTTTTCTTTTGCCAAGAGGTGGTTGTTGTTGTTGTTGCTGTTGTTGTTGCTGTTGTTGTTGTTGTTGTTGTTGTTGTTGCTGTTGTGAGCTTTCTTTCTATCTTCCTTTCTTTTTCTTTTTTTACTTTTTTTTTTCTTTTTTTCTTTTTTTCTTTTTTTCTTTTTTATAGTGTCGGTAATTGCATCTTAAGCATAGTTTAATATGCATACGCATGTACACGGCACGTCTTGATCACTGCAAAAAAAGAAAATATTTTCAGTGATCGCCTATCGGGAGTACCAACTCAGAGTTACGTGAAATTCTGTTAAACAAGGACACACGTATCACTCTGCTGATCATTGCTATTTGCTTCTGCCCTGAGATGTGCCAGATCTAGTTGTAGGTTTTGCTGGTTGTGGAATTATTGTTATTTCGTCATTTATCTTCAAAGGTTTCAAAAGAGAGTCATTTGATCTTGATGACGGTGACGACGGAGTATTCTTTTTATCCATTACTCTCTTGGCTACAACGCTGTGCGCTGAGTATACATGATTTTCAAATTGTTTATACATTCCAAATGTGGCAGTGCATACTGTACATTTATATGATAAATGCGCGGGTTTTAATGTCATTCCATGATCCCGTGCAACATGATTTAATAGCTTCCATTGATATACCTACAAATTTATTATCATAATATAATTTTAATATTTTCATATATAATTTACAAATTATATATATATATTAGGTTGGAAATTATGAAACGGTTGTTGAATGAAAATAAAAGACTAAACAAAAACGTCCGTTTCATAGTTTCCAACTTGACATATTAGAGGGACCAGAAAGTAATGTCGCTTTCTTAAATTTAATTCAAACGAATAAATTTTTAACAAGTTTTTATTTTTAATTGCAATCAAATATCGACATGTGCAGAAACGACATTACTTTCCGGTCCACCTAATATATATATAATAATAATAATAAAGATTAAAAATATACTTACTCTACCACAAGCTGGACAACGACCAGCATCTTTTCCTCTATTTGCTGCTTCTTGCATACTGGACGTAACGAGTCCATGAGATCCAAGCAAATGTCTTTCCAAACCCTATTATTAAAATTGATGTTACATTAAAAATATGTTTTACATATTCTATACAGATATGGAAATAAAATTCATAAAGAAGGAGGATATCTTTTTTCTTTCTTTTTATTTATTATTATTATTATTATTATTATTACTATTATTATTATTATTATTATTATTATTATTATTATTATTATTATTATTAATATTATTATTATTATTATTATTTACAAATAAATATAGAATGTTATTTTTACCTGATCTGTGAAAAATCGAAATTGACATTTTTGGCAGTTCAATGGAGGTCTGTTATAAATCATCTTTGGATGTATTTTTACTTTATGAATCCATTGCATGTGATTTCTTAGTTGCTCGAGATCCTATCAAGATAAATAAATTAAATTAAGATATTTCCATTTGAATTAATTTTATATAATTTTAATCTGTCAATGTTTTTTTTTTTTTTTTTTTTTTATGTAATTTTACCTTAATATAACCATCGCAAATTTCACATATAACAAATGTATTTTTCCCTCCAGATTTTGATGATGTTCCCGAACCAGGAATGGAGGTTTGAGATGTTGTACGTGGTAATGGAGTTATAGATATACTCGGTTGACTTAATAACTTTGCCGTAGGATTTTTTGTACTGGCCGTTGTGTTCTGAAAAAGAAAAAAAAAGAAAAAAAAAAAAAGAAAATATTTATATCACTTTATAGAGAGATATAATACTAAGATAATATTATTACTCTATAAAAATCATTAATCATATTTTTGCCTAATGTATATATATATATGATTACAAAGTCATTTATATATAATTATTTAAGATCATTTAACTTAAAAAATTTAATTCTTCTCAAACTTTTCATTTTTAAACTTATTCACTTTTATCTCATTATGATAAGCATTAATAATTCTTAAAGATTTTATAAATTGATTACATGTAAAAGTAATAATGCTTATAGAACTATATAACAAATATAAATATCTTTTGTCATTAGAATAATATTTTTCTTTGTAATATTATTCCAATTATAATGACACAACCTTTCAGTTCATTTTCAATTAATTTCAAGAAGAAACAAAAGGTTAGTATATATTTTTTTTTTTTTTTTGGTTTGATAATTAGTTAATATTACAATAGTACATATTTTATATATATACCAGCCCAAATCGCATATCCATTATTTTAGTTCAATTAAATTCTAACACATATATTATAAATAAAAAATGTTACAAATTCTCCTAAGCTTAATCGTAACATATAGTCATAATATTTCATAATAATTCATTTTAATTATACAAGTATTATAAAATTTTTTGCTATTTTTTTTTCTTTCTTTCTTTTACAAATAATTATTATGAAAAGCTAATGAAAACACATGTGTATGTGTGTATATATATATATATATATATATACTCACACACGCACATACAAACATTGTATAGTATTATGATATAAGAAATATTATAACAGCAAAACAAAGAAGAATTTTGTATTATATATAAATTTGATAAGTGTATTATTATTATTATTATGATTATGATTATGATTATTACTATATTATATTATTATTATCATTATATTATAATTATCATTATTATTATTATTACTATTATTATTATTATTACTATTATTATTATTATTATTATTATTATTATTATTATTATTATTATTATTATTATACCAGAGAAGCAACCACACACATATTTTTATTGTTGTTGTTGTTGTTGTTGTTGTTGTTTTCTTTTAGAAAACAAACCTTTATGAAATAAAAGTTACTAAGCACTTTGCATCTGTTGAACGTGTTATCCATGCGATCACAAATGCTATATATAAAAATAAGTTAACCTTCCTGATACCTTCTAGTATATTATTTACCTGTGATGAGGACAACCTAGACAGAGAGTCGATTACGTTGGGTACAAGTGCAATGGGTGTGGGTTGACCGGAACTGCCGCCGCTACTGCTACTCACTCCCGAGACAGCCGACATGACAGTCCCAGAGCCACCCACCACCTGTCACCACCCATATATTTTTTTTACTAATTCTTTAGATTTCTATTTTGTTTTCAAATCTCTCCATTTTTTCCCTAACGTTTCTTTATTACTCACACATATATTGTGAATTATCATTATCATTATATATATAATGTCTATTATAAAAAAGTTTCTTCAGTTTTTTATATTTTTTAAACTTAAATACAATTGAATCTATTTTTTTTTTTTTTTTTTTTTTTTTTTTTTTTTTTTTTTTTTTTTTTTTTTTTTTTTTTTCTAGTGAGAAGAATATACCCCATTCGCATTTACAATAGAAAAGAAATTATATTTTAGAAAAATAATAAACAAAAATTATTAAAAATTTAAAAAATCTATAATGTGATATTTGTAATTATTTCAAATATGCCTATATATAATAAAGTTTGATATAATCGTTAAACTTTTTCCAAAGGATATATATACTATCCATTGGAATTTATTATCATACTTCTTATATTATAATTTTACTTTTTATTCGATTTACTCTGCTTTATCGCAATACCTTTAATATTTCACAGACTTATTTCTGCGTGATATTTCTTTTGATTATATCAGAAATATATCGTTACGTTTAAAAATACAATTCATTCGGATAAAATACATTTTTATCATTAAAATCTGCTTATGTATAATAAGAAATGATAAATATAATAAGATGAAAAAATAAAAAAAAGATTTTTTTTTTTTTTTTCTTTACCTGAAACAATTGATTACTACCAAATTGGTACGAAGCGGGAACTAATAGGCCAGAGGATGTTGGTCGATACATCATGCCTGCAACATTATCTAAAACGTTGCTAAATTAAATGTTTGTACATTGATGATATTAATTCGTAATATAAAATATATTATTAATAAATATTATTATAATGATATCAATTGATTTTTTACCTTGCCGCATAGTAGTACCACCACCAGGTCGTAATGTTTTCATATCAGAATATCTAGGCTGCATTGGTGGACGTCCTCTTCCACGACCTGTAATAGGCGCTGGAAGTAATTTCGGTAAAAGTGGTTGTGGACCTTTGGCACTCATAGCCATAGCAAGAGCATTAGGATTAGTTGGACCAACTGGACGTGCACGATTTAATCTTGGAATTTTTGCTGGTGGCTCCCAATCGGCGGCAGGTTCCAAATTTCGTTCTGGTCTAAATTTTTTAGAGCAAGCAAGAATGTGCCGTGTAAGTTTCCCTTTTTGGTTATCTTCAAATGGACAATTAGGACATTGATGAAAAGCTGGACCACGTTCCAATCGACCACGAGTATTATGTTCTGCTTCCATATGGAATAATATATCATGAGGACTACGAACTTCCATTGGACAAAAATTACATTTGTAGACGTAATTGCGCATATGAGGAGTTTCTAAGTGATGCTGCATTACTAATGTAGATTCCGTTTTAAAACTACAGAATTCACATTTTTTCATTTCTAAGTGGAATGGTTCATTATTTTCCTTACTAAATTCTAAATTCTTGATGAGTGAATTTATAGCTAATTGTGTCTCCGCAGATGTGCTACCTTTGCCCTGTTTACGTTTTTGAGTCCGTAATAGATCAGTTTGCACATATTCCTGAACAAGATTTACTCCAATCTGCATAAAAAATTTTCCCAATGGTAAATCAAAGTAAGTAATTACTTTATTCCTATCATCTTGCCTTATATCATGTTTGTCACTTATATTTGAAATACCGGATTCCATTGTATCCATCATATCCCCTCCACTATCATCTCCGTCCTTTTTAGACCTTAAACTTCCATCATTTTCACTTTCTTGGTTTCTACTATCTATCTTTTTATTCATATCCATTGAATCTTCATTAATATCCTGATTATCTTTATTATCATCTGTAATCTTTTTTAACATATCCTCCTTTTGTTTATCCTCTATGCTTTTTTCTAATTTAGAAACAAATTCTTTCAATGGCTTTAACGGTGGTTTTTCATATACATAAGGTACTATAAAAGATGGTGCTTCCACGACAAACATGTCATCGGTTAAAGTTGGTAATATAGGTGGCAATGGAGGAGTAACTGTAGTCATGCTACTTGGCTTGGGACTTAATTGTGCAGCTTTAGATGTCATGGGTACAGGTGTAATAGTTGTTCTCATATTTGGATACATCGTTTGTGTAGTCATATTCATTGGTACGACTGAGAAAGAACTGGGATTAGAAACTGTATGGTGTGGTTTATTGTTACCAACAGGAAGGCCACCACGACCTGAAAGTATGGAGTTTGTATCTATTATAACTAACGTAGGTTCCTTTTTGCCACCTTTGACGGACTTACTTCCAGCAGCAATTTCTACTAAGCGTTTAGTATCATTGACCACTATAGTGGTTTTACTATTTTTCGACGGTGACTTTAATTTAGAATTCTCTTTATCTTTACTATCTATCCCAGCTAATGGATCTTCAGGTTTAATTTCCTCTATATCAGAACCATCATCCTCCGCTTCTTCTTCAACTTCTCTTTCTATATAACTTGTTCTTTTAATATTACGAGAACTTCTTCTAGGTGTAATACTACTAAGATCTATTTGCTTTCTCTGTTTTTTTTGTTTAGTAGGATCTTTTACAGTACGTTCTTGAGTTGTATTTAGACCATTATTATTCTTTGCACTATCTGTTATCTCTTCTATTTCGGGACTATCGCAACTTCCATTTTCTTCGCATATCTTCACATCTGATGTATCCATACTGCTTTCTACAATTTCAGCAGAATCATTTGATTGTTGAACGTTACTACTACATGACAAATCTTTACCCTCGTTTATGTTAGATTTTTTTAAAGTGAACACATCATCATTATCCATTCGTACTCTCGTGATGCTCTCATCCAAACATTCTACGTCAGAGTTATTACTCTGTTCATCAACATCCATAGCCTCACGAGATGTGTTTAGACACTTATCTTCATTTCTAGACACTTCACTAGTATCGTTCATCTCACTGACACCATCGGAAGATTCTGAAACCATGGAGTCATTTCTTGACTCGTATAAGCAACCCCCCTTACTCCTATTCTTTCTCGATTCATTTTGCTCACTATCTTCCGATTGCATATCCCTTTCTTCGTGCTCAAAGTGTCTTCTGTCCATAACATCTTCCTCTTCGTCCTCATCTTCATCTTCTTCCTCTTCCCCATCCCCTTCCCCTTCCTCCTCTTCTTCTTTCCGTTTACTAACAGTCTCGTTCGACGTTTTGACACTGTCAGAGTCCGGAAATTCTTCCTTTTCAGTACTACCATACTTTCCATTGACACCATTTGGAATGACCATGTCTGGGAACAAATAAATAACACATTGAAATTATACCACCATATAATATCATAAGATTATCATTAATATACAGATCACATTCACAAAATGATAAAACTCTTTGATGACTATAAAATCTATTCGATAAGAATACTTTTTAAAGGATACACTTGTTCCTGTTTTTTTTTTTTTTTTTTTTTTTTCTTTTGACCACATACTTTTGAATGGCTTATATAATCATTATAAACTGCTCAATGAAAAGTTAAAACCATAGTTTTCTTCTTCTTTCAAATATTTTACAAAAGAATATTCCCCTATGACTTTCCATAGAATGTGAAAAAGTGAACTGCATTATATTATAAAAGAAAAAAAAAAAAAAAAAAAAAAAAAGGAACTAATGATAGTTGATACAATCCAAAAGAAAAAAAAAATTGTATAAGTCTCAAATATTGATGATATAAAATTCCACAATGGTGTGGATTAAAATACACAACAGAAAGAATACAAAAAAAAAGAAAAAAAAAAAGAAAAGGGAAAAAGAAAAGAAAAAAGACCAACAACAACTAAAAAGAAAAAAGAGAGAGAGAGAGAGAGAGAGAGAGAGAGAGAAAGAGAGAGAGATAGATAGAGAGAGAACAAATAAATAAAAAAATTATCTACCTTTTGACACTTTGTCAGAATTGTTCTGAGAAGAGTCCTTAACAGGAGGTTCTTCCAAAGTCCCGTCCATGGGGCCACGACTGTAGAGTCGATCTAAACAATAAATAAAATAAGACAACTGTCATGAGGAAAGGGCGGCAAAGGCGGGAGGGAGGGAAGCATAAATATAAAAAAAGGGACCCTAATAATAATAATAAGATGAAGAATATATATATTTTCTTTTTTCAAAATATTAAACGAACATGAGAGAAGATTGATAGAGAAAGAGAAGTTAAAGGAGGAGGAAGGGGAGGAGGTAGAGGAGGAAGGCGAGGAGGATAAAAAGGAGGAAGAGAAGAGGAATAGGGAGGGTTATGAGAGAGAGAGAGAGAGAGAAACAGACAGAGAGAGAGGGGGAGGGAGAGAGAGAAGGAGAAAGAGGGAGAGAGAAAGAGAGAGAAACGAGGGAAGAGGGAGTGAATTTTTAGCGGGGCCAAATTTTTCAAAATGGCGCTGCGAATTCCGTACTCCTAACTCCCCTTGGAGAAGATGATCACAACCCATAACCAAGAAAATTCACCTCTCGAGCGGGCACTGTTTGACGGGTCACGAATCATGTAATAATAATAATTTTCCCCGTTATGTGATCCTTAACCAAAGGATGATTATTATTAGAGATGCACACCATCCATCCACCACTACTATCCACCACCACCACCACCACCACGAACACCACCACCACCACCAACACCACCAACACTACCACTGGGAATCGACGCTTTTTCTTTTTCTTTTTTTTTTTTTTTTTTCAATTTCTTTCTTTTCCAATCCGACGATGACGACGATGACGACGATGACGACGATGACGACGATGACGACGGACGACGAATGGAATAGAATTAGGAGGGAAAAAGAAGAAAGAAAGAAAATAACCAAAAAATAAAGGAAATAGATTTTGATCGTCTCTTAGGCGACAATGACGACGACGACGACGACGACGACGACGACGACGACGACGAGCACGACGACGACGACGACGACGACGATGATGAGGAGAAGGAGGAGAAGAAGGAGGTGAGCACACCCGTGCAACGCGACGACGACACAACCACGGAAGCAGCAGTAGCAGGCAGCAGCAGACCGACGAAAGAGGAACGAGAGAGAGAGACAGGAGAGAGAGGAGAGAGAGAAGAGAGAGGAGAGAGAGGATAGGACAGAGAGAAGAGAGAGAGGAGAGAGGAGAGCGTAAAAGGGAAGGAGAAGGAGAGAGAGAGAGAGAGAGAGTCCACGAAGCAGAGCAGCACACAGCTTTTAACGGTTAGCGTCGGTCACCTGCGAGAAAGAGAGAAAGGAAGAGAGAGAGAGAGAGAGAGAGAGAGAGAGAGAGAGAGAGAGAGAGAGAAATACAACTATTGCGTTAGTGAATCGACTTAATAATTTTGTCAAATTATTTATTTAAATAAATCATCAATCGAACTGAGGTTTGATTTTATAACCTCTTTCTATATATAAAACCCTTTTAACTCTATCAATCTTTTATTGTAAGACGTTTGTATGGGTCTGTCTATGATCTCTCTCTCTCTCTCTCTCTCTCTCTCTCTCTCTCTCTCTCTCTCTCTCTCTCTCTCTCTCTCTCACTCTATCTCTTTCTCTCTTTATCGCGCGCGCACCACGTACACATACCACTTACACAGAAGCACGCACACACACTTTTACTTACTAACTCACTCACTCACTTACTCACTCACTCATTCCCCTCTCCCCTTCTTGTATAAATGTGCGCACACACACACACACCACACACACACACGTGCGGACGCGCACGCAGGCACGTATATACACGCACAAAGAGATAGTTTTCGCGCGCACAATCAATCTCGTAGTGTAAAACGTGGCTAAACAACCCCATGACGCATCCATCCAATGTCTACCCTAATCATAATTTTTCGACATAACCTCACTTCTACCATCAATCCAATCCACTACACCTCTTTCACTTCACTCCACTCCACTCCACTCCACTCTACTCCACTCCGCTTCACTCCACTATCATCCCAATGTCCCACCTAGTCCCTCTCATTTTATTCTTTAATTTTGTTATTAATTTTTACACGTGTGTATGATGTATATATATATATTATGTATGCATGTATGTACGTATGTATGTCATAGGAAAGAGAAAGAGAAAGAGAGAGAGAAAGAGAGAGAGAAAGAGAGAGAGAAAGAAAGAGAGAGAAAGAGAGAGAAATTGTAAGAGAAGAATAATCGATATGAATTAGTAGAACAAATTAATTATAATTATTATTATTATTATTATTATTATGATTGAAGAAGAATTGGACGAATTATTTTTTCTTTTTTATGTTAGAAAAAAGAAAAAAAGAAAAAGAAAAGAAAGGAGAAATTTTCTCTTTTAATTTTTCCCTTTTATTTTTCCTCTCTTAGAAATTATTGTCAATATATATATATATATATATATATATATATATATATATATATATATATATATATACATATATATATATATCATTGGTTTCTCTTTTGATTAAGAAAGATCTTTTGACCCCCGTAGAACGCGTGATGTATGTATCTCGGCGAACGACGCGCGACACGTTGCCATCGTCAACTTTGGAGAAGAGCCGAACAAAAAGTGAGAGAGAGAGGGGGGGAGGGGAGGATGAGAGTAACAAAAGAGAGAGAGAAAGAGAGAGAGTGGGGGGGGTTGAAACAGAGAGAGAGAGAGAAATGCATTCGTTGTATGAAGAATCGAAGATCAAGTCGAATATTCATCATCAAACACGATTGCCTTTTTCAAAATTGTTTGCGTTGTTGCCACTTCGTGTTTGTGTGTGTGTGTTATATGTTCGTCCGTCCGTCCGTTCATCCGTCTGTCTGTCCGTCCGTCCGTCCGTCTGTCTGTCCGTCCATCTGTCTGTCTGCTGTGTATGTATGTGCGCGCGCGTACATGTATGTGTGTGTGTATGCGTGCAGAGTTTTATGACTTGGCGGAATTTTTTTCTTTTCTTTTCTTTTCTTTCTTTCTTTCTTTTCTTTTTTTTCTTCTTCTTCATTTTTTTTTTTTTTAGCAACGTTTCTCTTTTTTTCTTTCTTCCTTTTCTTCCTCCTCCTTATTCTTATTCTGTGTCTTACGTTTAACACAATGCCGACGCCGCTTCACTGCAGTTGTCGTTGTCCTAGTCGTCGTCGTCGTCGTCGTCGTCGTCGTCGTCGTCGTCGTCGTCGACGACGACGACGACGACGACACGGCGGCAACGTCTGTCTGTCTGTCTGTCTGTCTGTCTCTTTCTTTGTTTCTCTCTCTCTCTTTCTCACTCACTTTTCTCTGTCTCGGTCACGCACCCAATAATAAATACGCACCTGACCACCATTGAACTCCCTACACTACGATTTATCGTCATAACGTAACATTTTCTTTTTCTTTCCTTTTCTTTCTCTCTTTCTTTCTCTCTCTCTTTCTCTTTCTCTGTCCTCGACTATACTCCGATTGACTAAACTAGTTTAATTTTTTTTCTCCCTTCCTTCCTTCCTTCCTTCCTTCCTTCCTTTCTTTCTTTTTTACCTAACCTCCCCCACTCCATCTTCTCCACCCCCTTCCCAACCGTCCCTCTCACATACACCACACACACACACACACAACCACGCACGTATATACACACACACATACACACACGCACACACATACACACACACACACGGGATATACTTATTTCGCGTTACAAACGCGTTCCTTAATATTACGACTCTTCTACGACGTCTTTACGTTGGTACGGGTTACACACCGATTTTATTCACAGATCACACAATCGGAGAAAATAGTAAACATTTCTAACGATGAATGTGTTACACACTAGAGGACAGGAGCGTCGGTGGTAACGTTAAAAAGTTATGCCCCAGGGCCGTCCCTAGTTTACAGGTTCTTTTTCTCCCTTCTTCTCCCTACCAACTCCCCTCTCTCCTCATATACTCTCTCTCATTCTCTTGATCGAGACCGTCATCTTACTCAGGGGGAGTAGGGGGGCGTAGGGGGTGGGGTGGGGGGAAGAAGAGTGGGTGCACGGCGGAGGAGTGCGGGAATACGGAGGATATCAGACGCTTTAATTTTGTAGGTTAATGTTTGTATCCTTTTTTTTTTCCTTCTTCTTTCTCCTTCTCCTCCTTCTTCTGCTTCTTACGTTCTGATTTTTCTTTTCTTTTTTCCCCCTTTTTTTATGTGCTTTCCTTTTCCTCTCTCTCTATTTTTTTTTTTTTTTTTTTTTTTCAAATAAGGATCGACATCAAAACGAATGCCAAGAGAATTGTTATTATTCGAATATTGTTCAATTAATGTAATCCTTGTCGCTTTTGTTTTTATTTATTTTTTTTTTATTTTTTCTTTTTTTGTTGTTTTTCAATTTCGAGAAAAATATTTAGGGATCGATAATTATCGGAGTGTAATTCCATTTTTTTTTCTATTTTTTTTTTTTTTTTTGTTTTTTTTTCATTTTCTCCCCCCAAAAACTTCGTTGTCTCGGTAGATGTTAAAAAAAAAATTCGTTCGTCAAATTTTAATTTGAGGTTAAACGTAATACTCATTCGATGAACTTCGTAAAGTTGTTATAAAGAAAAAAAAAAAAAAAAGAAGAATTTATAACGTTTTAAAGGACACGATCTTTGTCGCGGAGGATAAAAAAAAAAAAAAAATTTTTTTTCCAAAGATCAAATTGAGTTTAAATGTTATAAATAAGACCTCTTTCGGTTGAAGGCAAAAAAAAAGATTTTACGAGATAATCGTATTCTCAAAAAACGCGTGGCGATTTTTGGCGGACAGAAAAGAAAAAAAAAAAAAAAAAACAAATATCGGTCCGAAGATCAAGTTTCAGGTTTAAATGATACGAATTAATCTTTTTCCAATCTAAGAAAAATCTAAAGTATTAAAAAAAAAAAAAAAAAAAAAAAAAAAAGAAAAAGATTAGAAAAAACTAAGAATTGTCATCAATTGGGAAGAAATAATATAGGGGGAGGGGGTGCGAATAGGAGATAGGTACTGCCCTGGAGTATTGTGTTATTAAGTATATAACCGTAGAAATGAGAAATTCCATAGAGAGATCAATTGTAAAAGTTGAAAAGATATATATATATATATATATATATATATATATACATCATATATATATAATATATATATATATATATACATATACATATATATAATTTTCGTTGACTCAACTGCGAGATTTACTTTACCTCGCTTTAAAAGAAACGAACTTTTATTGCTGATATCGTTCTTTCTAAAAGGAAAGATTTAGAATGATCCCGCCATTTCTCTTTAAGGGCTGCCTTTGGCTCGTCGAACAGCTGCCGTGGTGGTCGACGTCCGATCGCGATTATCCCCCCAAAGAGGACCGATAATCGAAACACACACGCATCTGAAATGCCGCGCTATTTAAATTCACTGACCGTTTCGTACACTGACAAATGTCGGACACGCTTAAGACTCGTTCTACACTTCTTACACACCGTTATTGTATCGATATTATTCACATATATTTGATGTTTATTTGGCTTCGACGTCATGGATCTTTCTTACCTCCGTCGTCTAAAACTGCCAAGATGGCGACCGTAATCACGTGACCGCAAATTTTATGACGTACGCGTTATGTTAAAGGGGACCAAACGACCAGTAGCGTTTCTTCTAGATTATCACGTGATCATATACACGTGCACATCCAATGAGAGACTCTCCCTAAGAATAAGGGCAATCTGCAATCGCAACAATGTACAAACTACGGGGTTGACGTTAAGGTACCCGCCCTTTTCTATTTTAAGCTTCACTTGAAATAAAAAAAAAAAAAAAAAAATTTTTTTTCCATTTTTTTTCTTTCTTTTTTTTTTTTTTTATATTTCTTTTTCTACAATTAATTATTTTTACGTTCATAAAGTATAATTTATTTTTATTCTTTTTTTTTGTTTCTTTTATAAATTCGTTTTTTTTTACTTTTTTTTTTAAGAAAATATTTATTATAAAATTACATGTACTTTTACTCTCTTTCTCTCTCTCTCTCTCTCTCTCTCTCTTTCTCATATAAATATATATACACTTCTATTTATTATATACATTTTTTTTCTTAAAGTTTTCCTTTATAGTATAAATGTATCTCATTAATACATTATAAATATAAATTATATTTAATTAAATTTAAATTATAATATAAATTATATTTATGAAATTATGGATTATATGTATCCTATGTACAATCTTAATTGAAATTTATACAATTTCAATTGCATCAAATTATTAATGACAAATATTTTGTCATAATATTTTGTACACAAGATAATAAAAATAATGTGAATATACAAATATTATTGGTAATGAATATAACAGATATTATTACCAAAAAATATTCGGTAAATAAAAAATAAATAATATAATATTTACAAACACGCACATACACACACACACACACATACATTACATCTTATCCTAAACTTTCTTCCTCTTCATCGTTAAACGATAAAACAGCTTTCTTGTGTTTGCTCTTTTTAACTTTTTTATTAGCAGATCCGTCAATCGTATCTGAATGTCTCTTTTTCAATTTATCTTTATTAAATATTACACGTTTAGACAAATCAATCGGAGCTTCAGCTTCCTCTATAAATTTTCAAACAAATCATATAGATTATAATTAAATATTATTAAATATATTGAATAAAAATATATCTATATGAATCAAAATGTACCTTTTTGTTTTTGTTTTTCATAAGCTTCTGCTTCTTCCGCAGTTAAGTCTCCTGAATTTAATACAACAACAAGAGGCTTCTCTCCGTCTATATCTTCCTCTTCATTGTCAGAGACACGTGGCAAAGTTTCTTTCTATTTGAAAAAAAGAATCAAATTATTATATTACTTCTTATTAAATAAATATTTAAAAAAATTTTTTGTTCTTTTTCCAACAACACACACCTATTGTTTCGTATTAAATATACAAAAATTATAAAGAATTATAAAAATATAATCAATAAATTATATTACAATAAGATCGGTAAGAAATTAATATCGGTTTTTGAATTTTTATCTTTAAAATTATCAAAGCAAAATAATATCCATTGTAATTTACATATTTTAGCCAAAGTGAAATCTTTTTTTTCTCTTAATCCTAATAGTATAAAATTCCAATGTTTTAGAACTTCAATGAATTCTTTGAATTTATTTTCAGTAACAACTTGATTGCTGAAAATTTTCCCTTGCAAAAGTAATAATCAAGGTGTTTGAAGAAATGCTAGTTAGTTGATGAAAAGTTAATTAGTTGAGGAATTTATGTTGAATATTTAGGAAAAGTTTTGTAGATTCTGTCGTGTGCGATGTGGTCGTGTTTATCTTCATTTAATTCATGTGGTCAGATCATCCATTTGTCGAGTTTCTTTGACTTTCTTAAATGTGTCAGGTGGTGAATAACATTTGAGTTACTTTACACCTACCACCTGTCCAAATTGTCGGGCCATTGTGTATGAATCAGTTTTAATCAATGTCTTCTTCAATTGATCATTTTCAATGACAGAAAATAATTGACGATCTTCTTCATCTTCCAGACTTTCATCTTCTATGCTTTCATTTCCATTTTGAAATTTTGTAAACCATCGCTTTACCGTAAATTCATTTACTGTATTCTTACCAAATACATGATTGATATTACGAGTTGTTTCCGCAGCTTTATGACCAAGTTTATACTCATATAAGAAAACTAATCGAATTCGTTTTTTGTCCATCTTTAAAATCAATACTTTGAAATGAGTATAAATAGTAAAAAAACAAAAGCATATCTACCAGGATATAGAGTGACATCTGAACTAAAAAATTGTATTGTATAAAAATAAAAAGAAACATGCGAATTGTTAGCTCTAACCTAAAAAAAAAAAAAAAAAAAAAAAAAAGAAACACTCGAAAACCAATATTAATTTCTGATCTTATTAACATAAAGAAAAATTTTAATTTATAAAGAGTATATAATATATATAATCAGGGATGTTTACATCTTTACCTTTGTATTAATTGTTGGTCCTTCCTTGTATTTAATTTGTTCTTTTAATTCTCTTAAAAATTTTGGCTCTTCAGGCCTAATGTATGACACTAACTTTTTTCTAGACATACTTTATAATATTTGTAAAAATTTGTGTAATTAAATGTATATTCAGATAGTTAGTAAAGTAACATAACCTCTAACGACACGTAGTAAACTAAGTACGATGGACGTTTGGTTAAAGACAATTGTAAAGCATTCTCTAGTAAATGATCCTGTTCCTGATTGGTCGACGCATGAACCAATCATTTCACAGACCGAACAATTTTTTTTCTAACCTTTTCAATTAAAACGCAGGTTAATGCAAATTAACATATATATATATATTTATATTATTTATTTATATAAATTATATATAAATAATAAATTATATATAAATATATATATATATATATATATATAATTAAATACATACTTTTATACATTATATGAAAAAAAATTTTTTTTAAATGTTTTATTACTTTTTAATATTTTTCTTTCAATTAAAAATGTTGAAAAAAGATAAAATGTCAAATATACAAATGATTTTTTCATTTTTTTTCTCTTAACGTTTATGTATGGGACATTGAATAAAAATATACATATGTCCTTTATTTGACTTTTTTTTTGTTTGTTTTTTTTTTTTTTTTTTTTTTATTTATAACGTTTATTCGTTTTGTCCATGGAAGTGGTTAGCCAATATATTAAATCGTTTGCTATTAATTGGTGCGTCTTTAAAAAATTTATCAAACTTTTATTACCTTCTATGTTGATCAAAAAGACAATTCCAAGTGCAGTTTTGTATTTTCTTTCATTTTTTTTTCTTTTTCTTCTTTTTTTTTTTTTTTTTTTTTTTCATTGTAAAATAATATTATGATCTCGTCTTTTTAAAAAATGTACATGCAACTATAATACAAACGAGAAAGCATTGTTATCAATTAATTATTCGAGGAGAAATATTTTTCATTGAAATGTACATGACAAACATAGATTACATTAATACGAATTTTATTAAATTCTTCGAGATATAATCAGTTCTAAAAAAAAAGAAAATGAATTTACTTAATAAAATGTTCAAAGATATTCTCGTTAAATAGAAATAAAAGCTTTAATAAAAAAAAAGATTGATTGGCAAGAATAAAAAAAAATAAAAAAAGGACCACCACCCCACGGAAATGGTATAACGGTTCATTTTATATAATATCCCAGCTTATACAGAAATCTAAATTATAAATCTAAATAATAAATTTACAATCGAGTTACCTCCGAGCTGTTAATAGCTCTGAGTTTTCCTTCGGAATGACTAGAACGTCGATGTCTAATTTGAGGATGATTACTAGCAACGTAATTGGATTCCTTATGTTTTTCCAATTGAACGACAGGTAAAAATCTTGGACTGGGTTCGTCTAAACATTCACAGCTTATACTACCGTCTAATTCATTTTGATAAGGAGGCGGTATTAGAAGACTTTCAGTAGATTTGGTAGGTTGAAAATGTCGAGTACTGCCAGTGGAATAAGATGTACTGCTACTTGTTCTTCTTTGTACAGTACCAGTGGGTGTTTTAGCACGACCATGACCTCCTTTACCAGGTCGTTCAGCGCTATGTGTCTTTATTGTAGCTGTATCCAAATAACCGTATCCAAATCCGTATCCACCGAAAGCTTTTGTAGTTAAATTATCCCATGATTTGGGTTTGGCATATTGAAGGCACGGTGGCGGTCTTTGGTGAACAGTTGGATCCCAATAAAGTGTATCTGTACTTAGACTAGTGGAACAAGAAGCTACGCTATCAGCAGTAGTTGATACATCACTACTGGTAATGGAGTGAAGACTATGACCGGAAGATCTGGAACAATTGTGCGTACCATGTTGTTGCTGTTGTTGTTGTTGTTGTTGTTGCTGCTGCTGCTGCTGCTGTTGTTGTCCTTGTTGTTGCTGTTGTTCTCGTTGAGTTTGTGCCACATGTTGTTGTTGTTGTTGTTGTTGTTGTTGTTGTTGTTGTTGCTGCTGCTGCTGTTGTTGTTGTTGTTGTTGTTGTTGTTGCTGTTGCTGCTGTTGTTGAAGATGATTTTGTTCGTTTCTAGCTCGACGTTGTTTCTCACGTCTTCTACGGCTTGGAACACAGTTTGGATCGCAGCAAGGACTGGCCAAATCATATGCGTCTAAACTACCAGTATCCGATTGTTCTCGACGACGATTAGCACTTGAGATACAAGCGACGCATAAACTATTCTGTTGAGAATGATGAACCGATATGTCACCGCTTATCGACGAATTCTGTTGTTGCTGACAAGATTTGTGTGACTTCATTTTCGCTGGTGTACCGCTCATACCATTTGCTTGATGATAACTATGACGTGAAGAAGTGGACGCACCAGATTCGCTGGGCATCTTTGAAAGAAATTGATGATGATCGCTTCGAGAACGTGGTGGTCCTACTGTTACCAAACAAGCTGCACGTGGTATCAAGCATGGTCGACCATCACCAAACTGAAAAAAAAAATATATATATATATATGTATATATATATGTATATGCTTAATTAATTATACTGTTAGGAAACAATTATATTAAATCATTATAATCACCAAATTGTAAAGCAAAAGATGTTCCGTAGATGTTGCAGGTCGACAACATTGAATGGTTGACGAATTAAAACTCGACGATGGAGATGGCTGATTAGGATTACTTGTTATAATATTACTGGGTGTTCTTTTACGTGCTGGAAGTGAATGTGTCTTCCATCGACCCATCAATATTGAACGTTCTCTCTCGCATAATCTTTCAAGCTCACCTAAGCGTAATTGTAGAGCACGTTGTAATTCCAAATAACGCATATGTAATTGTACCTGTGAGATCAAATTTTTGTCTAGTCATTTGTCAAATTTTTATTATTACTCAAAGGATATATACATCAACATGGATAATTCTTTGTCGTTATAATTCTATATTATTTTTTTTTTTTTCTTTTTTTTAAGTGACAATTTTAATAAGAATTTTTTTCAATCATCCAATAACAAGTAATATCTTAGAATAAGTTATGCGAGAAATAAAATATTTTACGATATAATCGAGAAAGATATATGAAGTTATTTAAAGAAAGGAAAAAAGAAAAAAACAAGAAAAAAAAATGGAAAGAAAAATGATTTGAAAATAATTACCTTTCTCACACAATCCTCAAATGATACGACCATTCTCATTCTGGTATCACAGTTTTTTATAAAGTTCACAAGGGTAGTATGATCGGCTCGATCCATTTCATGGCCATTTATAGAAAGTATAACGTCACCTTCTCTCATGCCTGCTTTAAATGCAGGTCCATCGTATTCTATATAATCGACATAAGTGATCATTTCTATTTCTTGTTCTCTTTTATAATGTATCCCGTAACTCTGTAACAAACGTATAGAAGAAAACGTATAGAAAGAAAAAACAATAAATAACAAATTATTTAAATAATTAATAATACATATATATATGTTTTTAGAAAAATTAAAAGATCATGAAATTTTTTGAACGTATATATAATTATACCAGCAAAAAGGAAAAAGGAAAAAAAAAATAGGAAAGGAAAAAAGATATAAAGTGAGAAATGAAGAAGTGTTTTAAGAAAAAAAAGAAAAAGAAAAATATGTTTATGTCAAATAAAACGTATTCCTTATATCTTATATCTTTATATGGCGTAGCAAAAAAAAAATATATATATATATATATATATATATATATATATAATACATAGACGTAAATGTATGTTTTACCTGTAACGTGAAACCATACGTGCCATTTTTCTTTTCCACGATAATGGTACGACGTCTTCTATCCTCGTCCACTCTTGATACACGATCCGACTTGGATCGTTCCAGTACAGCCTGCAATATAAATATTCGATATTACTATTAAAATAATTCAAATTATAAATAATATTCATAGTCACATGATGACTCTTTCTCACTCTCTCTTTCTCTTATTTCTTTCTCTCTCTCTCTCTCTCTCTCTCTCTGTCTCTTTCTCTTTCTCTATTTCAATGCAATTTTAATAAATCATAACTTTTTGTTCCTTTTTTATGTATTTATTTATTTATTTATTTATTTATTTATTTATTTATTTTTTTTATTTTTTATTTCTTTTTGACTTTGAATTAAAGTCAAAGAAAAATATTAAATGGAGGAAAACAAAATAAAAAAAAAAACAATATAAGGATAAATAGTATCAAGGTGGACTACATATTCATCATGACGATATATGTGTATTTTATAACGAGTGCAATGAATGCCATTCGCATTTTATGATTGCATTTTATTTTCTTCAATTGGAAACCTTCATTTCTTTTTTCTCTTTTTCTTCTTCTTTTATATTTAACAGAATTGAAAGAATGATTACTTTGCGAGAAAATGTCTTCGTTGAAGGAAATCAATCAACTTGTTTATATATATATATATATATATATATATATATATATATATATATATATAAACGCAAACAGATGTAGACTGCAATTATTAAATAAAATTGAAATTGAAATTGTAATTGAAATTTGAAATATATTTATATAATAATCGCTTATTAAATATATAATAATAATAATAATAATAATAATAATAATAATAAT